TCCGTGACCCTTTAACTTTTCAAAAGGGGTTTTTGCCGGTTTTTCGGGGACGCGGGGGTTGACTCTTTCAAAAAACGGGGTAATCCAAAAACCCTTTTTTGGAAAATTGGGGGGCCCAATGGAATGTCCCTTTTGTTTTCGAAAGGGGGGTTATTTTTTAAAAAAGAGGGGGGCAGGATGGCGGCCCCCTTTTTGGAAAATTAAAACCCCCGGGGGGGGGGGGGGGGGGGGGTTCGGGAAGGCCGGGCGTCTCCGCCCCCCCCCCCAAGATCAACAAGTGTCGGGTAGACTACGTGAATGAGAAGGCTTCGAAAATGGAGAGTAGAATGAATCGCTGGGACAACCGGGCTTACACACGGACGGTGGCATCTATGCACTCCTCCCCAACAACGCCACTTTTTGCCGCGTTTTTTTTTTTTTTTTCGCCGCCACCGCCGGCGCCACCTCCACGGCCGGTTGTCCTTTTGTTTGTCGAATGACGACGTGCAGAGGTCGAGCGTATTTGTGCCGCTGCAGGAGGAGCAAGAGGGGGGGGGTGCAACGGAAGGGGGCCTGCGGATGGACGATATTGTCAAGAAAACGATCGAAGAGGATGAAGTCCGAAGGGTGAGCGTTCACGGCAGCAGCAGCAGCAGCAGAGTCAAGCACTCGATAAGAAGAAATGTATGGGACTTAGAAAGTCGTTTGTGACGTGACCTGCGAGCTTGTTCGTGTTGTCTTGCAGTGCAAGGCGAGGGTGTTTCAGCAGCGGCAACGTGTCGCGATTCGCTGTTGACCATCGCGAAACCCTTCTTGTCGTGGGTGAAACGTTTGTATGTAAGTGCGGGGTGGGTGAGATACTGCTGTATGTGCATAGTGCGGGTATCGTACACGTGGACCGAGTTCCTTGATCGGCACGTTGATTTTCTTGGGTTATTTAATCGTGTGCTCCACATACGGACAAGGACGTTTATTGCGAGCAAACAACGAGACCCTCCCCCCCCCCCCACGGGCTCTCGCTTGCACCACCCAGCCTTCGATGACCGTACAGACCGACTTTACTCTCCAAGAAGTGGCAGCGGCGGCGGCCGCCGAGGTTGAAGTAGACGAGGCCGCGAAAGAAGCAAAAGTAGCAGCAGAAGGAGGGGCAAAGCAAGAGCCCCGCAGTATGGGCGAAGACGACGACAGCAAGATCAGCGGGTCGGAAGCAGCAGCAGCATCAGCAGCAGCGGCGGCAGCAGCAGCAGCGACACCGGCCGCCCAGGTGATTGTTTTCCGACGGTGTGTGGGTGTCCAGCGGGGTTGGGTCTGCGCGGCTGAAACGTCCGCCGAGTTGGTTGGGGTTTTGTTGTCCCGTGTCACGGCCCCCTGTTCAGAAACACGTTTCACTCGGAAATAATAGCCACACTCAGCAGGCACAGCCTCTCAGGTGGGGACGCCGGTTCCTGTGTGTAGCACACGGC